ACTTGACAATGTGCCTGTCCATTCCCTCAAATTCCATAACCCCTCTCTGGGTGACGGCCCCACACCCCACTTCCACTCCATCTCCCACGGAGGAGGCAGGGGGCAGAGAGTTACTAGGAATCTAGTCCAACTGACAGAATTCCCCACCCACCCCACCTACCCCGAGAACACAATTTTCGTACATGGGCCGGGAGTCAGGGTTCTGTGTGTGACCCACACAGTCACGCAGATGGGACACAGGACGAGTCCCTCTACCTGGCGCAACCTAAAGCCTGGTCCTGGTTACCTGTCCTACCTGTTATTAAATTGATCTGGTCTTTGCATTTACCTCACTCCCTGTTGTAGGATTAACTTGAATTTGGCCCTTGTTTGTCTTGAAAACCGCAAAACCTTGGCCAGCCAATACCCGGCTTCCCTACTACCCCACCCGGAGATGAACCCCATCAACCAGAACATCCCCCCACACACTGGCTGCTCTCAGGGCAGCTGCAGCCCCTGCCCTATTGTTGATCCACAGTAAACATTCCTTGCTTGAACCTTTGATTGGGTTTTTCTTTAAATTCCTTTCATCATCTCAATAAAGCCAAGAACGCAACAGGATGGATTCCAGCCCAGGCGCCACCACAGGCACATGAGACGAAGCTGCGCGGCTCAGGGGAGAGGGCACCTCGCTGTCTGACTATAAACACCGCTTCTGTTTCTAGCAGGGCTGTGACCGGCTGGGAAAAACGTGAAGCAACTGGAATTTTGAAAACACTTAGCATATCTATATTCATTGTGGGAGTTTGCAGGAAGGCATTCAACAGGCTATAGAGAGGTCAAATATTTTGGAGCTCACAGGATCAGTACCATGCTTTTGATTTGTGACAGACAGTAGTCGCAACAAATATTATGTAGCAGTTACCATGAAAGCAACACCTTTACGGGCCCTCCCTGGTGGCGCAGTGGGTTAAAGCGCAGCACTAAGAAACTAAAGCCACTTCCGCATGAGTTTGATCCCCGCCTGCCCCAGAGGTGACCCACATGGCACAGCAGACCTCTCCTGACCTGCCCACTGCTCCCTTCAGCAGGGTACTTCGTTGATCTGCCTGTTCTGCTCCCCACTCTCTCTGGTGAATCGTCTCACCCTGCCCCTGAATCTCTGGCCTGTACCCCAGTTCTTGTATGCATAAATAAAGAAAACTTAAAAAAAAAAAAAAGGCAACACCTGTAGGAAAGACAATTGAAGGGGAGGGGGAGGAGGAATAAAGGGGGGAAAAAAGAAGAGCTATAGCCTAAGGGCACCATTTTAGCTGCTGAATATAACTTACGTACTTGTAACCTATAATGAACTAACAGTTCATTTAAAAGATCAGAAAGATCACACTCAGAGAACTTATATAACTTGCAAAGATCACGCAGCTAATAAATGTTATCACTGGAATTCACACCCAGGCAGCTGGACAGCAGAGACGTTCTTGATGGCTACACGACGGTGCCTCCCTGGTCCTTACCACTCATTCTTTACACATCAGAATAAAACACCCCCAAGCCTTCCCGCTGCGATCCAGCAGAGAACTTGCTAGACTATGGGTGATACCTTCCTAAATCTTCATCTCATGAGCATGCGCCTTTCTCATCAGGATATCACTAGGCTGAAGAAAGCCAACCGAGAGTGACGTCTGCGCCCTGGACTCTTTGCTGAACCTTGAGTCCATGTGTCTGCATTCCAACTGTGTTCCAGAGAGAAGAACAAACTAAAGACCATTGAAACTAAAGGAGAATTAAACAGATCCATCCAGAAAATCCAACATCGTATTAATAGAGGCCCCAGAAGGGTCACTGAGAATAGACAAAATGAAAGAAAGCAGCTGTTATGTTTTTGGCTCACAGCGCAGGTATTGGCGAGGCCCCGATGTCCTTATTATGAGATGAGCGTGGAAGCAACACCTGGTTTGTAACTTCTGCAGCCCAGAAACCGAGTTTACATTTCACCAGATAAGAGCTGGTTATATTCCCTCAACCCAATGAAAATAAAACCGAAAAGTAACGATTACAAAAGTATATGGCAATACAAATAGGCTGTTTAGTATTACATGAAGATAAGCTTAGAAGATCACGTAGGTCTCCAAGTTGTCTCTTCTACATAGTGACAGTTAAAGCTGCAGAGTCATACCCAGAGGACACTCCCAGTGCGCTCCCAATAGAGATTTCGTTTTGGCATCCTATGTATTTCTGTAAGGCTTTGCAGAGGGAGGCAAAATAAAAAGCAATCGCCTACACCTTTAGTATCCTCATAGTACTAACATAACTCTAAATTGAAAAACATTTTGATCTACTTTTCATCAGTATAATATATGTCAGGAGTTATTCCTTAATTATTATGCTTCCCAAATGAAACGATGCCAACAAGTCCAACAGCCAAAACTCTTAGTAAGGCTGTCCCTCCATTCCGTTCCATATGTGGAAATTGCTAGAAAGTAACTTTGGGGGTTATTTGGGTAGTCTAGCCCAGGATCTCTATCCACGCATGCTGGCTCCCAGGGAGGACAATCAGCAATGCTCGAGACACTAGCGAGAGGGTGATACTTGCACCTCAGAAGTTAAGCTGGAGATGCTGCTAAATATCCTGCAATGCACAGGACAGAGAATTATCTGGCTTAGGCTGAGAACCCTGTGCTTGATGAAACGCTTGCCCATATTTACCTCTTTAATTAGGTTTACTTTTTTCAACTGATGGCACAACTTTCTTACTGACCCCCACTCTCAAGATATGTGTTCATCACAGCCCTGTTTATAATGCTAAATAGTGGAAATAGCCTAAGTGGGTCAGAAAAATGTGGTGTATACAGATGTATACTGCGTAGGAATACTACTCAGCTATAAAAAGGACGAACCCCTGCCATTTGTTATAACATAGGTGAAAATGGAAAGGATAATGTTAAGCAAAATAAATCAGAAGAAGAAAGTCAAATAATAGGTGGTTCAATGATATGTGGAATATTGGAAAACATAAAAAGGTGTCAGTCAAAACAAATCTTAACATCTGACTGTGGAACTGAGCCACTAAAAAGGGCAGATGGAGGATGGAGGATGTGGGGAGGCCCCTAGTGGAATGTGGTGGAAGATGTTAGGGCATTGGTGTTCGGCAGGGTGTGAGAACACCTTGCAACCCTTAGAGCTCATATAAAAATAAAAAACTACTTTACCCCAATAAACATAACTTCAAAAGGTAAATAAATGAAGAAATAAATTTATCTTTGCTCTTGTGTATCTCATATTCTCTGGCAAAATTACTCATCCTGTGCAACCAACTCACATATTTGTGAATATTCTTCTCGTCAGATGGGCTGAGGCAGGAAATCCACAAATTTCCCACTACAAAGAACAAAATTCCAAGTACATTTAGTCTATTCTATTCTGACAGCTGTTAATGATTTAGTAGCCTCAAGTTCCCAAAGACACCAAGTATATCTCCTAAAACCATATGGTATTTTCAATAACTTTGGCTTGATTTGGATGATAAACACAATGAACTTTAAATTCTAGAATTCTTTCTCAGCCTTTAATAGCACACATTAATAAGTAATTTGGCTTATATTAAACATTTTCTTTACTTCCATTTTCAAGACTTTTCTCATCCAAACTTTTGGCAAAGCAAAGTATAAGGAGTAAAAAGTGGGATAAGAATCCTGATTTCAGTTTATGCTAGCAGTTTAGAATCTGAGTTTCAGAATCATTAAATAAGAATGAGTTTTTCCTGGCTTTCCCCCAACTCCTTAAAACTATTCACCTAGTTTTCTGAACTATATATATAGTCTACCTATCAATATTCAGTCTTGAATGCCTATGATCAATTTGGCATTTTTACGATGTCTATATTTTCCAATATCCATTAGTTTA